GTCTACCCTGAAGAGTTACCACAACACCTACTCGTGGGGTGAGGAGGAGACTGAACCAAAGAGTGGTCCTGGAAGTGGATGGGGGTGGTTTAGAAAACCTTCACATGAGAGGGAGATATGCGATACTACTGGAGGAAAACCGGCACAACTGGACCTGAAGGAACTGGATCAAGTTAATGGTCCTGGAAACAGAGGAGATAAGGCAAGCAGGTGGAGGAAACAGTTTGCAGAGCGAGGAAACCCTAAGATTAAGATAGAGGATGAGGATAGAAATATTACAAACTCATACGTTTCTTCCGAGAGTGCAACCACTCCTGCGGGCTCTTTCGATATGGAAAAGAGAAACTCGAAATCTGACAGTAGAAAATCAGCCGAAATCACTCCACCAACAAAGAGCAGCTTATCCACGAATCCCAAAGAGTACAAAGACGGCAGGGCTAAAACTCTCTGGAAGATCGCTGTGCAAGCTGTTCGGGGAGGTTTAACTAAAACTCAGATGTCTGCTGACAAGGATTGTGACGAGGAGGCCGGCTTTGACCAGGACGAGCAGCTTCAACAAACTATGGACCTGAACAAATTGACTACATCTCCGATTGTTATGATGGACATAAAAGTGGACAACGATTTAGATTTGGAATTCGATGATGACGAAAGTAAGATTACATTAATAGTGATAGGTTAAAGAACTGTTGATCCAAGTTTCCATTAAAGAATAAGTTAGTTAGATTGTATTATCTATTTGATTGAAAATTGAAGATCTAATTTACAATTTCAGGTATATCTGATGATCTGATAAACCTGGTTTCTTTTGAAAACAGCAGTCCTCTAGCTGATAACAGCCTCTGTTGTCATGACAACAGTAACCATGACAACAGCCTCTGGCCCCTGCCAACCGACCTCAGTTTCATCACCTCCCCAACAATGTCACCTCTACGCCGCAGTTTAAGGCACAAATCTTGTGATGTTGAAAAACTCATTAACGACAGTGGTCTTAATGAGGACATAGAGTTCGGTTTTGAGAAGGAACTTTTGGTTTCTAATCTTTCAACACCTTGCTGCTCAATCGAGAGCTTATCTTAGCCAATATTTGACTGAAGATTTAAAATTTAATAAATTAATTTGTTTCGAAACTTGAAGTTTATACATTTTTGCAAATTCAGTATTTAAACGATTCCGTGCAAAATTAGGATTTGAAAATTTGTTCATTAATATTTTTATATTTCCTATCACCGCACAATTGTGTATATTACAATTAAAAATACGATTAAAAATACGATCATACAAATACCATAAAGAATTATAATATTCAATAAATCGGCAAGTAGTACTAGTAATAATTAATTGGTTCCAAATGGTTCTTACTCCCCTTTGTTTTACCTTATCGGACCTTATTTGAACGGACATTACTTGAACGCTGGAGGCCCTAGCGCTCATTTTAATGTCCGTTCAAATAAAGTCCGTTCAACTTCATTTAATGTCCGTCCAAGTTAAAGTCCGTTGAATTTTTTTCGAAAATTTTTCCATTTCGAACTTTTTGTCCAGAATATGATAACTTTTAATTTCAGTGTATTTCAATAGCTACCATTAGACTAAACTGTATTGTTGAATCAATGAAAACAAGTTATTATAAAATGTTAACGATCTAAATAAAAATTGTAAATATCACATTATGGCATGATCACTATCTTGATCTAAATTTGTTTGCCCATGCAGTTGATCTACAAGGGAAAAACAAATCAATTTCTTCCTAAGTATACATTTCCGAAAGACTTTGAGGTTCTTTTTAACGAGAAATATTGGGCAAATGAATATAATCTACAACATGAATAAGTTTTATCGAGAAAATCATAGTGCCGTACATTAACGACGAAAAGGTTCTCTTTGGTCTGCCGGAGGCACAGAAAACTTATTTAGTATATGATGTTTTCAAGGGTCACTTGACGGAAAAAGTCAAAGAAATTATGGCACTCAACAACATAGTTCATGAGCTAGTGCCTAGTCCACGCCGACATGACTAACTTGTTTCATATTTCAGCCTCTAGATATTACGGTAAATCGTGTTGCCAAGGACATTGTCCGCGTATAGTTCATATTAGCTTATAGTTCATATTACTCAGGGGAGGTAATGAAACAAATAAGTGCTGGGAAAGCTCCACGTGATGTTAAGGTTAACCCCCGGTTAACCTAAAGTTGTCTAAGATAAAAACCACTTCTTCATAGAGAACTATCCGGGGCAAATATGTCGTGGCAACTACTATAACTCTATTACTATACGTATAAAATAAACAAATGCGAATAATAAACGGTGAAACATGACTGAAATCTTATTACCTATACCCTGAGCCCTTGAGAAAGAAAAGAATTTAGACCTGATGGCGATTTTTCTCACAAAGTTAACAGAGCCTGTCACCCCCATTTTTTTCGCATTATAATATTAGACGAGACTAAATACTATTACTAATAGTGCCTCCAATATACAATTTATTTATACCTTTATAGATTGCAACGGCCCTTAAGCGCTTGGTACATCGACTTTAATTCTATTTTAAGTCTATATTAATATAATTATCTGCACCCGGGAATTAAAAACTGCAAAATCTTGCAGCTTCGGGAAATTAAATTACTACAATGATATCAGAGTTCAGACTACGCAATATGTAAGTCAACGAAAATAAATTCCATGGAAAAAGCGCTCTTGATAAATCGCTAATGTCAATGAGAGCGGGAACTGGAAAAAGGACGGTCAAGCAAAACCCTTGCAAATCTGATCGAAGATGTTCCCTCTAAGAGTTACTCCCAAGCTCCCACACTGTAAAACACTAAATCATGTCCAGTCCTAAATAATGGTGATCAGTGCAGACCAAACAGCAAAGCAAAAAGAAAAGAAAAGGGGGAGCCCCAACCCATGTAGGCGTAGCTGAGACACCTCACAGCAAGTAGACCAAAGTGGCTCTTGCTTGTGAAAGGTGTATCAGCTCCCCGCTTGGTTCAGCTAGGCCTGATGGAGTTCTCTTCCAATTATTCAATTAGACAGTTATATATAGTATAGCCTTCTGAAGCAGCCCACAAGTGAGCCAGAAAGGAGGTTAACTTATTTTATTCCAGCTGTTGTGAGCCTAATGATCATTATGAAAGTCTGGAAATAGAGATCAAGTTTATAGCTGACTCGTTGAAACTGAAAAGACGTTGAAACTGGGATAAAAACATTACACGAACGCCCAAAAAGATGAACCAATTGATATGAGCAACGTTTAAAATTGAACAACTTTTTAATGTTGTATTTAACTTTAGATTGTGAATGAAAATTTTTTTAACTTTTTATAGGCCAACGTTGGTTAATTTTAAAGGTAAATTTTTTAACGTTGAACTATTTCATGCACGAAAACACATTTGATGAAGATGATATGCGATATTAGACACTGATCATGTACACATTTTTAAACATTTTTACTGCTTAACGACTGCTTTTCTTACTTACTGTATAAAAAATGGATTTAAAAATCATTTTCTGAAATAAAAAACGTTTAAAAAAATGAAAAAAATTCGGATTTTTGATGGTTTTGAGTGCCTTCTAGTGTTCATATTAATGTCCGTTCATAATTATGTCCGTTCATTTAATGTCCGTCCAAATAAGGTCCGATAAGGTAATTAAATTACTGTTCTCGAATGCAAAATGATACCGAGACTGAAATTGGTCGCTCGTTTTATTTATTTATTCATGGTCTGAAAGTAAATCAATAATTTAATAAAACAAAGTAGTAAAGGGGTTCTCTGAAGTATTCTCTCTCTCTCAGTTACGGTCAACGGACGCTGGCCTCCTGCGGTAAGTGGGAAGTAAAGGGGTTATAGGGGCACTGTAATATCATACCCAATATGACATTTCACTCCAGCAGAGCTTTCAGAAACCTTTGAGCTAAGCACAGTCGAATTTCAATTATTGTAAGTATGTTATTTAATTTGTTATAATATATAAAGCCGAAATGACTCCGCACTTTGCAGATAACTAATTTTCTGTCGATGTAGTAATTGAACAAAATCAAATTATATTTTAGTCTTACACGACCGCATCTGACGAAATTCTATTCAACATTTTCAGATAGCCCTGAATTCCTTCTTATCATCATCGAGATGGAGTCTGGATTTTTGACAAGTTTATCATTGTAGTGTTCAGTATGGAGCATCACAGCTCACGGCAGACAAAATAAAACAAGGCGAATGACCGGTGTAATTGTAAACGGAAACCAAATGAAATAATCGACGTTTCGGCACTCATTGGGTTTTTACTAAGAGTAAGATTACTCTTTACTGAATTAAATGTTAAAAACTCAGCCTTACAAGATCTAACCCTGATCTCTTTATTTTCTTCGGTGGAGTCTGAGTTTTAGTCTAGAATGTGAGTGTTTGACAAGAAACAATTGGAACCAGCCACCCCGGAGCTGATATAGGGGATATATTATATAATTCCACATTAAGAACATTAATAATACAATTAATCTGAAAAATATCATTATCTGTCAAGTCACGCACAATTAAGAATTTAGATTTAAAAGTTCTAAATTTGCACACCGGCGTGAGTACCTGCGACGTGGCGGCGTTTAAAAACAAAAAATCCGTTTGTTATCAGGTATCTGTTATCGGCGCCCTTGTGCCCTGTAACCAATCATTAATTTCATTAATATTTGGAACCGGCTCGAATAAGTTTATTTTAGTCTAGCTGTTCGTAGGCTGCTTAATCAATACTAAACCTATTGTCCTGAAGTTGTCCTGAAGTTGCGCTCTGCCCTTTAATATAACTGTGATTTAATGCGACATTGTTCGCTTAATCTCATAACATGGGTGTGAATTGATAAACTTTCAGAAATAATAAACTTCTCTAATCTCATATATACGAGACATCATGATTTTGCAGAAGCTTTAAGGAAATAAAAGGCCGTACTAATTCCTAGAAGAATGATTTCATTGGGATCAGGTATCGCCTTGCAATCCTAAATCTAATTTCTCCATAATTCACTGCAGAAACCTAGCCTGCAATTTGACTGCAGTCGTGTCTTTGACTTTATTTATTCCGCTGTCATGTTAATGTTGCTCATTCCTTTAACGCTTATCAGCATTTCTGCAGGTACTAATACTATTGTATAATTATTTTCAAACTTTTTTTAGGAATAAAAGAAATGGCACAATTTAATTCTGCACAATTTTGTTTGAATCAATTTAATTAATGGTTTCTTGTCAGGTGACCCTTGTGTGGGTTTGAGTTTGCCTTCTGTGCTTGTATCCAGACCGGAGGGGCAGGATTACTTTGCTGTTCAGTTGGGTGGGGACCGTTCCGCAATTGAGCAGTGGAGTGTCACGGTATGTCTTTACCAAAAAGCGCTACATTTTCGTTTGAATGTGGGACGCTACGACACTGTGAAGTGTGAACTACAACTCATGAGTCCTTGTAGTTATTTTAAAATCTGAGAGTCGCTAAACTTTGAACTTATAAACTTATAACTGCTAATGACTTAATATCCCTAATTTTCTTCAGAATGAAGATGGAGGCTCAGTGAGTCCCGCTGTTTTATCTCCGGATCATGTCTTCGAATACAGTCCATCTGATTGTGACAAAACTAGTTACAGGTAGGAGAGATTGTTTTATTAGCCAATAAAACCATGTGGCAAAAGGGTCAAAAGATTGCTCTCTGATCTCGATTGTCGCTGGCTACTGGCCAGCATCGGATGATGATATCAGATAAGACTTTTCTGATTGCAATCAGATTTAAAGGATCATTGGTGTTATTCAAGTGTACTCTCATTTAGCGACACCTTTAAATAACAAGAGTATAACATCATCGCTGATTAGAGGTTTATTTTCTGACTAATACGGCGGCATTTGCTATTGGCACCAATGGATTCTCTGATATTGAAGTTCCAATGGTTGTCCCATTAAATAACGATTGGAGCTTCAATTGTTCTAAGCGACGTGATTGAACCTATTAAGATTTAAGATGACACTAAATCGACGACAACTTCTTTTATTCTTGCTGTCCTGCCAGTAAATTTATAAAATTAATGCTATTTAAATTTTAACGAGATTTTTTATTAAAGTTTACCCTCAGAGTGAGGATATCAGCTCGTTGCTCTGACGACCAGGTACACGATATCGAGTTGGAGACCGTTACCATGGAGCCCATTCCTATTAACGAGATGTCTACATTCTTGAAATCAGACTACGATCAGCTACGGGGACAGGGCGCGTTAGTACAACTTTAATTGTTCAACTTTAATTGTTCAATTTTAATTGTTCAACTTTAATTGTTCAACACTTGTTCAACTTTAATTGTTCAACTTTGATTGTTCAACTCTTGTTCAACTTTAATTTTTCAACACTTGTTCAACTTTAATTGTTCAACTTTAATTGTTCAACACATATTCTGTATAGAGCAGATTCTATTATTCCACAGAAACTTGATGTATTTTCGCAAAAACTATTGTCGAATAATTAATTAATTAATGAAATGGTGCCGTCTTTCATCCACACCACCCACTTGATTCACTAGGAATGAAGGAGACAGAGTGACCATGACCTGCCAAACTCAGGAGGACGCTGACAGACTTTACGATTTCCAACCCACCTACATGTGGTTCAAGGTGGGTCCTTTACCTCAATAACTCAATAAGTCACGTTGCAGTGTGAGCAACTCAATTAGAGATAATACAAATGCTCAAATCACAATAACGCAGTACGCACGCGTACTTCTGTCTCCATCGGTCGATTGAATTACTGATAGTTGGATAATATCCGGTTGGAAGAGACAAGGAAAAATGAAACAGGAAGTTAGGAATGGGTCGATGAATGGGTCGATTGAATGGGTGATCGAAAAGTAGATCGGAAGGACGATTGAATGATATCATATTTCGTTTGCAGATTGTCTCTCCCGCTGAAATAGCATTTTAGGTTAAAGATTTTACGTACACGTATTGCAGTGTTAAACGAGAATTGTTGTATAGATCAAATATGGCATTGTTTAATTTCAACCGACGAAGACACATAAATCTAAAAATAGAATAAACATCAGTCAGTATAAACCCATCACTGGTAACAAGTAACCCACAGTTACCGTAATGGTTACCGTGGTAACAGCACCACAATATTATAAATAATTACCTCTTCCTCAGTTGGACTCGATGGACCGAGACAACCACAAGAACAGAGTATCTGGACCTAGTCCGGATCTCAGTGAGTTGGTTGTAGACAGTGCTTCATGTGGAGACGGGGGACACTACTTCTGTAAGATCCTGCGATGTGCTTATCACACGTGAGTGAATGTTAAACAACTATTACACACTGTGTAGGATCAGGGTTAGAAAACACCTGCTGGATTTCATTACAATAATACAGTGGACTATTAAGGATTTCATTAACAAAATGACTTGGGATCTGAATTCGGATATTCATTACGGATTCGTATATGTTATATATAATATTATATGTTTATACTTACGTTCTGTAACTAAAAGTATTTATAGTCAGTATTGTAAGGACTAATATATACAATAAAGTGAATGACTTGGTAAAAAGATAAAAATAAGTATTCAGCTACATCGACTGGCAGTGCATATTTCAGGAAGAAAACGGATGCATGTAATAACAACGATCTGGCAGTGAAGCTCAACACCCCTCTCCCAGTCACCACAAGCAAGTGCAGGGTATTCGGGGATCCTCATATCATGACGTTCGATGGTGGGTCAGACGCTGATCATGTGTGCTTTATATCTCTCGGACCATTTTAATGACTATCTTGTGAAAATGCAGTTCTTCCAGTTCTTGGCAATAAGATCTTTTCCGTGGTAAGAACTATTGAGCACTGTTCAGTGTTTAACCCGCCTCCCCTGCCAGGTACCCTGTACAACTACAGGGGACAGTGTTGGTACGTGCTGGCTATGGATAAGGAGCACTACAAATGGTTTGTGTATGGTTACTTCTCCCCCTGTGGAGACAGGTCCCACTGTCTGGAGACTGTCTCTCTTGTTGCTAGGACTACTGACAATCCAGGTATGGGCATGTACAAAGTGGAAGATAGATTTTAATTTCTATAATTATAGTTCAAAGCTTTTAAAATGTATTATGCCGCGCAGGTGGAACCCAGATCCAGATGCTGAGAGGTTATGGTGTCAACCTCCAAGGAGCGAAGACATTTATCAAACGAGATACTCTCACTAAGTTCAAAGGTAAGGATTTTAATTTCAACTTGATTAAATCTTCGAATATTTACACATAGCGCGATAAGAGTACGGATAACTCAATCATTTTAAGCTGAAAATGTCGTTCCAGTTCCCTAGTGAAAGATGATATTTTAGTTAAACTTGATGTTCTCAATATTCGGTTGAGATTATCTGCTAGATTAGATATTGTGTTTTATTATTTGATTAGATATTGTATTAGATATGATATCGTGTAATAAGAATTTTAAGCTTGTAGCTCAGTATATAGTACATAAGTTATTGTATACTGAGCAATTTATTCAATCGTAATGAGCATGTTTAATGTTCATTATCTATGATTAATCAACAGGGGTAGAATTGCTCTTCAAGGGGGATAAGATGTTCTTGGAGGTGCCGGAGTTTGGATTGAAGATCAAATGGGATGGTTTGATAGCAGCTACTATCTACGTGGATAAGAACACACCTACTATGGGCATATGTGGGGACAACGACGGTACTGCAATAATTCATTAATATAATACTGTTAAACATCTTGAACTGTGGCTTCATGATCTTATACACACGATTAAGTTATGTCAAGTAAAAAAACGACGATACACATTAACAATTCATCGATATAATACGATTATGTTTTACATCCCGAATGGTGGCATTATAATTCACCGTGATGTTAAACACACAATTGATGAAGATTTATTCAAGTTATTAATTTTACATTCTCAGGAGACAAGTCTAACGATTACATTCTCAGGGGACAAGTCTAACGATTTGAACACGTTTTATGACGGAAAAGTTCGAAATTCTAATGAGTTCGTGGACGCCTGGTCTCTGGGACAAGGTATTCTATTTTTAAGTTGATTTTTTAAGTGATCCTAAATATTCCTTTTTAGCTACAAAACCATATTATATAAAGTGAGGACAGATTTCAATTTAAATGTTTCATGTGTCGCAGAGCCGTAAAAGTATTAAAAATCAACTTAATATATTCAATAATATTTAAGTATTAATTTCCCTCAGCCGGTTGTCAGTTGAGCGGAGATATACCAGAAATAGAAGAAGAAGAAATCAGCAGTTTAGCAATGCTACTGAGCAGGGGGGCTAATCCTAATAACTTCCCCAGTTTTGTACAGGAGTGAGTGAAAATAAAAACCAATAATTTTGGTTATTAAACACAAGTTCTTTAGCAGAAAGTGTTTCATTTTGTCCCATTTTGATGATTTTGTCCTGTTTTGAATCTATTTAAGATTTTTTTTGAGATGATATAGTTGTTTGTTGCTAAATATTTTCACCTCACCCTTTAAAACCGCTTTGACGTGATAGTAGCTGACACTTGTTTACTTGGGGATCCCAGGCTATTATGTTCATAAATAGAGATTCGGCGGAATGACAGGCTGAGCGCCGCCCAGTAAGCACTCGTGTAAGTTGCTGATCATATGGCGGTATACAATTACAAGCACATTATTTCAATATTCATTAAAGCCAATGTATTGAGCTATGTACCATACCCCACAGGTCGTATTGCTTGAAGACGATGTACATTGTACGGGTTCTCACTTCTCTCGGAATCACCGTGCTTGTTTCACTTTCACTTTTACTTTCACTTTATCTTTATCTTTATCTTTATCTTTATCTTTATCTTTCACTTTCTATCTCACTTTCTATTTCACTTTCTATTTCACTTTCTATTTCACTTTCTATTTCACTTTCTCTTTCACTTTCTATTTCACTTTCTATTTCACTTTCTATTTCACTTTCTATTTCACTTTCTATTTCACTTTCTATTTCACTTTCTATAGGTCGTACTGCAAGAAGACGATGTACGGGTTCTCCTCAGGCCAGGCAAGTCAGCTGGCGACAATAGCAGACAACCTCCCAGCGGAGATGCTAGACTATTTCGTAGACACCTGTGTTCATGACACCAAGTTTATTGACTATGGGTGGTTCGATAAAGTCAACCATCAGTTCTCAGGTTGGTTGACATAAATACATTTACTATTTCATCAATTTGTCAGCTTATTCTAAATCTAATATGTAGTAATCCTCATGGATTGATGGAGATGCAATTCATAACACTCTAAATTGTCATTTCCTCCGTCGCACATTGCTTTCCCCAGAATGATGTATCTTTAAAAACTGTATCTCTTAGGTTGCGGTGCAGCCCACATGCTTGCAGAAGAGGCGGAGGAACTAGGAATCTGCATTGAAGAGTGGGAGAGAGGATCAGGCTGTCCTTCCCGTGCACAGATCAGGAAGGAGTCTATCAGGATAGGGTGTGTCTGGACCGAGGAGGACTTGGAGACGGTTAGCTGGTAATTAAATGGAGGATTGTGAAGAACTTGAGGCCTGTTATAATGTATTATTGTCAAACCAACGAGGTTACTACTGGTTTCTACTTGAGGCCTATGTTCGCATACTATTTTGACTACCCCAGACTTACGTTTTTGATAAAATATATTATTAATTGTATGATTGGTATACTATTATTGAATATAATTTTCAGCTGTTTTAATTCTTACAATTTAAATAGAAATGTCACAAGTGCAACAGAAAATGTCGATTATGGCGGTTGTTGTTCTAACTGAGTACCATTAATTACTGTGCTCGTTAAACTTAAGCGCACATCAAATTAATTAAATTGTCTTATCATTCATATTTTAGCTATAAAAAACTGCGATATTATCCTGTCTTGTTTAATAAGGATTAAGGTATGTCACTTCCGTGAGCTGCTAATTAATTTAAAGTTTTGGTATTTCAGCTGATAGTTATAAATATATTTTATACTTCATAGGATTGACAACGTGAACACATCTCTACAGCTGCAGCGCAGTAACAACAGTTGATATTTATAAAAGCTATAAATTAAACATTTCAAAACCATCCTCTCGATCAATAACCGTTACAGTAACAAACAACTTGCAGTATTTCCAAACCAGAATGAAAATAGCAAAAGTTAGACATTAGGTAAATCATTAAATAACATAAATAATCAATCAAAAACACAAACTTCAATAATTTAACAAAAACTCTAAAACTTGAGCTAATAAAATTATAAAAACTACCATTAATATATAACCGCGCCCTGACGCATAAATAAAAAGCTGAACAACCCCTTCACCATTTCTACAACAAACTTTCCTCCTCCCCCTCGGAGTCACCGTCCTTTCCACATTCTTTCGCTTTCTCTTTCACTTTTTCTGATGTACCCACTTCAATGTCAATCTGCTGAATGTCGCACTCTTTAATCCTATCTAAATCTTTCTTGACAGGCACTGGGGGAGGGTAGTGGTTCTGGGACCTGAACAGGAAGTTGTAGCCCTGACTCTTCAGGCAGAAGTGGAGTTTTACCAGGAGGAGAGCGAGGAGAACTAGAGAAGCTGCTATACCTAGACCGAAGTAGAGTAACCACATCTCTCCGCTTACGTCTCTCCATAGGCTGAAAAATATTATAGCTGAAAATAAAGCATGTTGTTAGACGGATGAAAGTGATATAATCTCGAATGTTCCACAGAGGGAATATATGGAGTGAACAGACTACAAACATGTTCATTAATAAGGGGGTGGAGGACAGCACTTGAGCTGGTAAACACAGTTAGTTAGGTAGTTAGTTAGTTACCTGCGACTATGACAGTGATGATGAAGAGTGCAGTAATGTTGAGCAGCATGTAGTCCGTACTCTTAACCCGCTCTCCTTTCCACTGACATTGCTTCTCAAACTCCTGCAAATCACACGTGTTTACTATCCACTTGCTATTCATTACTGGGCTGTACAAACTGTAACAATGATTAGAAAAGGAAAGTGTTCAGTGTTGGCGGAATTATTTACGATAACAAGGATGTGGCTTTGTGTGACTATGTCAATAACACTTAGACAGACTAGACACACTAGACAAACTAAACACACTAGGCAAACTAGACACACCAGACAAACAAGACACACTAGAAAAACTAGACAAATTAGACAAACTAGACAAGCTAGACAAGCTAGACATTAGACAAACTAGACACACCAAAGACATTTACCTTTTTGTCCGCGAGAAAGTTAGGATTGGAGGGCTTTGGAATAAACTGAGGCATTGATATGTTGCTAGTGCGTGGTTCTTCGGCTACACTGAAACACCCAGATTAGCAAAACTCAGACTTACAGACTATTAAAACTCAGTTTTAGGGGCCATCTACTTAGGACGTCCGGCAAATATGGAAGGGGGTGGTTACTGGTTGTGCAGAATTTCGGACAAATCCGGACAGGGGGAGGGGGGTGGTTTCTGGAAAATCCGGACGTCCGGAATTTTTGCAGAATTAACGAAAAATCCCGTTTATTTCAACTCTTTGACACTAATAACTTTGTAAGTTTAGATCCCTGTATTTTGAACGAGAAGTCGATTCCCAGAGCAGCTCATGAGAGCCGAGTTTTATTCGTACTCTTAAAAGTAGCTGGAGATCCGGACGTCCAGGGGAGGGGGGTGGTTTTGAAAATTCGGACACACCCGGACAGGGGGAGGGGGGGGTGGTCTGAAAATTTGCGATTTTGGCGGACGTCCTAAGTAGATGGCCCCTTAATGCACCGCGAGCACCGTTTGGCGGTTGGTGTCCGAGACCCCGGACCCCCTCAAAAGTTCGGTCACCGGTCCTAGTTTTTTGGTCAACTGCTATCTCTGAATAAAAGACACGTACTCGCCAGCCACGTCTACAATTGAACGAGCTGTATAAATCAATTATATAAAATTTTGCTGGGCAGTTATGTTTTAAAATGTTTAGTAAATTGTGTTTTCGTAACTATATTGATTCAGGACGTTAAATAAGGTATGAATTTTAATGTAGTTATGGAGGAGTCCTAACTCTCCTCACGTCCGAAAATGGCGTTTCTCTTATAGTTATATCAAATATATATCATGCAGAGAAGACATATCTCTTGCGCCAAAGGGCTCTATAACTACTAGGAATATAATACATTACACTGGGGTACAACATACCTTATCGGACCTTATCTGGACGGACATTAATTGAACGCTGGAGGCCTTAACGTTCATCTTAATGTCCGTTCAAATAAAGTCCGTTCATTTAAGGTCCGTCCAAGTTAGAGTCCGCTGAATTTTTTTCAAAAATTCGAATTTTTTGTCCAGAATATGACAACTATGAGAACTTTATTGTGCCGTAAGTTAACGACGGAAAGGTTTTCCTTGGTCTGCCGGAGGCACAGAAAACTCTACTAGTATATGATGTTTTCAAGAGGGCACTTTGCGGAAAAAGTCAACGAAATTATGGCACTCAACAACATAGTTCATGAGCTAGTCCCCGCCAACATTACAAACTTGTTCCAGCCTCTACATATATTACGGTAAATCGTGTTGCCAAGGACATTGTCTATTAGACGAGACTAAAGAGTTTCTCCAATATAAAATTGATTTATAGATTGCAACGGCCCTTTAAGCGCTTGGTACATCGACTTTAATTCTATTTTAAGTCTATATAATTATCTGCACCCGGGAATTAAAAACTGCAAAATCTTGCAGCTTCGGGAAATTATATTACCACAATGATATCAGAGTTCAGACTACGCAATATGTAAGTCAACGAAAATAAATCCCATGGAAAAATCGCTCTTGATGAATCGCTAATGAGAGCGGCAACTGGAAAAAGGACGGTCAAGCAAAACCCTTGCAAATCTGATCGAAGATATTTCCTCTAAGAGTTACTCCGAAGCTCCCACACTGTAAAACACTAAATCATGTCGAGTCCTAAATAATGGTGATCAGTGCAGATCAAACAGCAAAGCCAAAAAAAAAGAAAAGGGGGGGACCCCCAACCCATGTAGGCGTAGCTGAGACAACTCACAGCAAGTAGACCAAAGTGGCTCTTGCTTGTGAAAGGTGTATCAACTCCCCGCTTGGTTCAGCTAGGCCTGATGGAGTTCTCTTCCAATTATTCAATTAGACAGTCATATATAGTATAGCCTTCTGAAGCAGCCCACAAGTGAGCCAGAAAGGAGGTTAACTTATTTTATTCCAGCTGTTGTGAGCCTAATGATCATTATGAAAGTCTGGAAATAGAGATCAAGTTTATAGCTGACTCGTTGAAACTGAAAAGACGTTGAAACTGGGATAAAAACATTACACGAACGCCCAAAAAGATGAACCAATTGATATGAGCAACGTTACAAATTTGACAGCGTTTTAACATTGTATTTAATTTTAGATTGTGAATGAAAAGTTCTTAAACGTTTTATAGGCCAACGTTGGTTAATTTTAAAGGTTAATTTTTTAACGTTGAACTATTTCATGCACGAAAACCCATTTGATGAAGATGATATGCGATATTTAACACTGATCATGTACACATCTTTTAACATTTTTACTGCTTAACGACTGCTTTTCTTACTTACTGTATAAAAATGGATTTAAAAATCATTTTTTGAAATAAACAAACGTTTAAAAAAATGAGAAAAAATTCGGTTTTTTGATGGTTTTGAGTGCCTTCTAGTTCTAGCGTTCATATTAATGTCCGTTCATAATTATGTCCGTTCATTTAATGTCCGTCCAAATAAGGTCCGATAAGGTAGTTCTAAACATGTTCTAACAGTAGACGAAGTTTAACCGTTAGGTGGTAATCCTTATTTAACGTCACTTGCCTATTAGACATTGCTAATTAAATAGTCTATATATCAGGCTTATATATATATTCTGTAGCTTCTCCCATGACCTGATCCTACGTAATAAACAGTAAACACACGTATACAATATGAGAAACACAAGTATTTAGTGTCTGAGGAGTGAGGTTAGCATGTACATTTCAATACAGTTTTATCTGTTCCCTCCAACTTTGGGTCACAGGATAATTCCGTATGAAAATATATATATATTTTACCCGTGTTTAGTTTACAATATTGCTATCAGAGACGTGTTATATTCATCACTATTTTAATATTTTTACTGCTTGATTCAGAGAAATCTAGCTTTTTCCGAGAAATTAATCTTTAATAGATTAGATAAGATGTACTCAGCCATTCTTTTTGTTTGACTATTACTCAGTATTTTTTAGTTTTGTACCGTTTTGAGTCACATAGTTTTGTACGTCTTCCTAAGACTTGTTTTCCTTTCCTAGTTTGTAAGTTATTTTAAAGATTTGTGTATATTTCAGTTGCTTTTAGAACAATTTTATCTCAGATAACGATGTTTAATAAAATGATGCAAAGAACTATTTCGAAGATCTAATCAACACCGACTTTTAATGTGTAGGAGTACAGCAACGAAATATATATATATATGGAACGAATTTACACAGTTGAATATGAGATAGGAGAGGAAAATGAGAAGATGTTCTTCATCAAACCAAAGAAAACCACGCGTCCACACATGAGAGCAATCCTAATATTTACCGTAATTATGTATACGATGTATAATTATGTATACAATGACTCCTTTTAACAACTTAACAAGGAGATTTAAATAGCATTAATTAGTGTTTATAATTAATGACCAGTTAGAGAGAAGCTTCCTACTCAAGTTGTGAAAATAAACACACTTATTTAGTAATTAACCTGTTATTGGTTAGAGCCTGCGTTTATTATTATAAATCAAAAATAGTCTAGCAAACAAGGAGTTATTGCTCATTTTGTTCATTCTTCTCCGAAATGCGAAATGACGCTTTTATGGCGGCTTAAATAAAAAATATGCAGTAATGTCTAACATAATAGGCAAGTGGCATGAAACTGAGTTTACTTAGAGAACATGTTTAGAACATGTTTAGGCTATGTTAAGAATAGCTAATATATGCGAATAATGATAAAATGTGATGCAAATTCTAATATCACCTACCCATAAGGATCGTCAAATAGCCTGGTAACAGAGCCAGTAGATTTGAGACTTCTGAGAACAGGTCTGATGGAGACACCGTTACCGTCTGAGTGTAGGAGAGCTACTGGCTGTCTCTGCTGGTCTACCAGGACTGACATTCGTCTCTGTAGCGGATCTGGGAGGTGGTATCTGGTTATTAACTATTATATTATCCAATATATAACCAATATATAACCAATATATAACCGATATATAACCAATATATTAACCAATATCAAGACAGTTATAGGGGAGGTAATTGAAATAGGTTGGACTATACTGCTGGATTCTACAGTTCGCTAGTTAATATTTCCCAGAGCGGCTGAAAGGAAAAACTTCACACAATATATAAAATATGTATAAAAAGCTGACGAGTTACTAACTAGTTACTAATAATGAGTTACTAACTGGGAGGGGCGGGTCTGCCTGAGTCGAGGAGCAGGAAGGAGGACCCGCTCATTATACTTGTAGTAGAGTTACTAACTAGTTACTAACAATGAGTTACTAACTGGGAGGGGCGGGTCTGCCTGAGTCGAGGAGCAGGAAGGAGGACCCGCTCATTATACTTGTAGTAGAGTTACTAACTAGTTACTAATAATGAGTTACTAACTGGGAGGGGCGGGTCTGCCTGAGTCGAGGAGCAGGAAGGAGGACCCGCTCATTATACTTGTAGTAGAGCCCTTAGTTATAAGTCTCCTTGTCTCCTTCATCCTCTCTGTTGTGAGGCTTAGTCTCCTGGAGAAATCTCTTCTTTCTACACTTGCCTGACCTAGTGGCAGTTAGTTGTTATTAGTTAGTTATAAGTTAGCTATTATTGTTATAACCATCTTGTAAATAATAACTATTAGTTATTGCAATCCAGTCATTCTTGCTAACCATTGTGAATGGAAATTTATCTTTCACTAAATGTTGTTGAACTTGATCGAGGTACAACTTACAAGAAACCTTGGAGTAACAGAGGAAACAGTAACACTAACTAAATAGTTGACGATTAAGCGACAAAACAAAGCACATTATACAAAACTCCCACAATATGTAAAATCATTAGAATAACTAAACCCAGCCTTTCTCAGACTTTTCCAGACTTTCTCAGATTTAACCTATCACGTGGTAACAGGTCGTGCTTATTTCTTTATTCTAATAACTAATAAAACTAATAAAACTAGTAAAATACTGTAAATACTGACACCAATTGCGTGCATGACAGCTTTTATAATACCAACTAAATATATTGGTATTCTCTACCTTATCAGTTCTTATCTTGATCCAGCAAATTAACTGTAACGTAATTTAATCACTTTTGGTTATAATTATATAGTTATTGAATTATCATTCATTTGGATATAGGCAGATAGACATTATACAAACATTAAACATTCCCAATTCGTAATTAAATGTAGATTGGTTGATACAACAAATCCTAAATGTTCTGAAGCCTTACCATAAAACTCTTATCAACGAACATAACTTCAGCACAAATGAAAATATATACTGAGAAAAGGAAATATATACTGAGAAAATGCCTTGTGGTATTTAAGTCTAATTGGGTTGGCTCGACCTACAAAACGGACCGGTTCAGAGGGAATTTCAGATAATGATATTTACATTTTCAGTCATGTTCACTGAACATGACTGAAAATGTAAATATCATTGTCTGAAATTCCCTGAACATTGTTCAGTCATATCCACTAGCGATAAGAGAAACAACATACTGACTTAACTTAAGATCATGAATGACTAAAAAATTACAACAAAAGCAACAAAACTAAGATTGAAACCTTACAGAGTACTGTCACTACTAGTTATATAGCTGGCATCAACAGCACTGAGCTGCCTGCCATGTAGGTACTGTATAGTACAGACAAATCCGTCTGAAAAAATCGATCTGCTGACACACGAAGCTTTCAGAGGATTTTTGACGTTTTTGAGTCCTAATAGGTGCCCTCTATGGCTGACCAACTTTTCCAAACTTTTCCACGTGGCTTAAGGCCACTTTTTGCCACTTTTTACCACTTTTTACCACCTTTCTCGTATGTCAAATATCTAGCGTTCTGAATATCGTAGACAGTTCTAAATTGAACCCCGGTGTTCGTAATATTAAGGAGAACAATTGTTTCTTCGAGAGTTTTCTTGTCAGATAATTAGATAATTGGCTAATTTATAATTAGCTAATTATTTTAAAAATCCAAAAATTTTTTTTGCTTAAAATGATCAAAATAACATGAAACGTGGAGAAAATTAGTTTTTAGAAAAATTAAAAATTTTTCGACTTAGAAAATTTTTCGACTTACAAAAAAAAATTTCGACAAAATTTTTTTTTTGAATTTCCAAAAATTGTTGAGATTCGATATCAGTCATAGATTGCAACCTTTATATTTTAGCGATATCGCTGTTATCATAATCATAAATTTCAAGTTTGCAGATTGTAAAATAAGCTTAATATAACATATTCATTTAGTACATTAAATTATAGTATAGATAAATGATCCGAAATTGATATTATTATTAGTCGTCTGTACGATTTTCGCAATTGTCCAAACAGTTAGTGCATCCAGGTCCACAGTTTATGTTATGCTTCAGACAGCTACATTGTTGGTGTTTGCAGCCGGCTTTGCATTTGCAATGAATGATTTCTAGGATATGACTGGGGGCTGCCGGAAGTTGTGACGTTACAGGAATATGTTGTCCGTTGACGAGTTTCCATCCCCAATCGGTAGGTTGCAAGTCATTTTCGAGCCACGTTTGAACTTGATGGTAGACTCTCAGAGAATGTTCCAAAGCGGCTGCTGAAGTAGGTGGTAGAGATGTACTTTCAATGGCAGTTACCCCGGTGACGACCTTGGCATTAAACAGTCGTAACCGTGCTGCATCAAGTGTAGCATCAGTGGGGAGGAGACTCAATAGGATCGAAAACAAATTCTCCCCGGCTAACTTGACTTCCTCTTTTGTTGCAGTAGGGCTGTAAAAAACATCAAGATCTGCTTCACTTAACTTATTCCTCATTTTCAACAGTTTGTCTTGGCCGACGCCGAAGATGCGGCTTACCGTATCACACCCTGTGAATGCATGTAAAACTAATATCGAGGAAACCACTTTATCTCCAAGATGATGTTTAAGTGCTTGTAGGTCATAAACATGGGCTTTCGTGGACATATAGATTTTCCATCTACTGAATACGACATTTTTTGTCATATCGGTAAGAATAACCAATAGATCAGTATCGTCACCAACTACAGTCACATTGTTCTTATCTTTAAATATATCCATAGCAGTCCTGCAAATAAGTACATCTGCGTCAGCCGAAGCGTGTATGCAGGTAAATCCTGACTGCGTCAAATATTCAGAGAGAAGGTTGATGAATCTTTGCTTGTTGTTTGAGTTAGACAAGAACTGTGGCTTTTTTACAGTAAGTGCAGTAGAGAACTCTGGTGTAATGTTACAGCAGTTGAGATTTCTCCCTCGTACATTGTGGACCATGTCTTTAGTTGAATTACAATGGTATCCATCAAATACAATCGTACACAATGGATACGTTGACAGAAAAGAAGCATAGCTGGCACATATGTCATTATAGGAAGACCCAATCTTCCATGCAATGCGATGAAGAAGCATACCTCCATCGATAACATATCTCATCCCACTTCTGTTACTACTTTCCGTATCATCTAGGACGGGGAATTTGTTAGTGAATTGTGACTTATTTTCGGAGGATAGCATCATTTTTTCTGCAGAAAATAGTCTTGTAGGAAATGCACACAGCTCATGGCAGAAGACTGTGGCAATATCAACATCGTTTCGGCGTAGTATGATTGAAGACAAAAGTCTTTGGAAGAGGAGGTTAGGATCGATGGTGTATGATCTACTCTTTTCCTTAATTAAGACAGCAGCCATATTGACGACTGCCATCTTTCGGGAAAATTTGTACTTCTTAATTTCTTTAGAAACCATACTATTGACTATACAATTTCCTAACATTAGAGCTTTGTGAGCTGTAACATACTCCCCTGCCTGAACACCATTGACAATGTTTACCAGCTCATCATTGTCCCTAAAAGGTTCCCTCTCCTCTAGAAATAAGCATATCTTTTCAAAATCTTGTGTGTCAACGTCTACTCTTGATTCTGAGGCCTGCTGATGCTGGTCACTTGTGGAGTAAGCAACTCCTGCTACACTCTGGATTGCACTGAAAGTGTCTAGGTTTTAGAGTTTGATGTGCTCTGTAAAATTTACTTAAGTATAAGCAGGAGTAGTGGATAAAAATGATCGTTCATTCTTCAATATTATTAACGCAGACAAACCTGCTTACAGCTGCGCAAATTGGCCGACTATGAATCCACTGGTTCCTTGAGGCTTCAACGTTTAAGCCTTTTCCTGGTCCAGTCATACCTCCTCTTGACTTCAAAGATTTCATAAGAACTTGTTCTATGATTTGGTCGGTTGAAATAGCTGGAAATAGACTTATCAATAGGTGTTTGATTTACAAATTGTTGCGGTAGATTTAATTGTGATAAAATATTTCTAAATGATTATGACGATAATCAGCTCATTAGCACGTTATTGAATACAAGACACTCACCTCCCCAAAATCTATCAGATCGCCGAATCGAATCTAAATCAGATCCTACAAAGTTCTTTAGTTGAGGATGTGTTGACTGCAGCTGTTCCATTTCTTGAATATCGAGCCACAACGAAGTAGTGTAATGATTACGGTTACCTAAATTGGCTTTAATTAAAAGTATATAACATTGCAGCAGAGAGAAACACGGTTAAATACGAAATCGTAACCATACTTAGTTAATCGATTTTGGAAACATATAAAAGTACTATTTTATCATCACCTGCTGCAAGATATGGTAGTATGTGCTTTTTGGCAGAAATTGATTGTTTGACATCACCAATCCTTTCACCACGATAGAGTTCGAAAAGAATGTCGACCATTTCTAAGTACTGTAACCATAACTTAGACGTTTTTGATTCATTCTGCTCTATTTTGGCCTCGTGGATTATGTCCCTCAGCTTTTTGAAGAGTCCCTGCTCCTTGAGGTCCTTCACTTCGCAGGGATCTTCTTTGTCCGAAAGACGCTGATGATAGCTCATGAGCGATATCTTTTCATCATTCGTCAAAGTAGAGTCTACTTTATCCTCGATGAGAAGGTAGAAAAGAGCCCTGTGGACGATCGAATGGGCCCTTATAGCCCGATTAAAGGCTTTACCTTTCATAATGTCTTTCACTGTGACCTCCGAGTAACATTGGCCTATGATTTCCTCTAGGCCAGATCCTTTCATTATGTATCCAATACAAGCAAGTATGGACATCATTAGGTGAAAGGTCCCTAGCCGAACAAACACGTCCGAGACATCAGAGTCCTGTGCCTTTGTAAGTGACATTGCTTTAAAGTATAGCGGCTGATCAAAAGTCACTACAGGGTAGCAGTCCATTTTCTTGCACTCTTCCTTAATGTAAACCAGAGTAGAATAGACACAGTCGATACTACTCGGCTGCAGGTTGATGAGAGGAAGAAAATGGAACGACGATGGTTTAGGATGTTGCCCTCGTGTCATTGCCTGCATTGTGCCAGACCATAATGGAGTCTTAGTCCCTAAAGCAGCTGACGTGATGTAGAGCAGGTCACTTTCTGGATACGTAAAAGATGGGATGTCTCCAAAAATATCCAGAAATTTTACGTTTTTGAGGAATTTGGCTTCTTTGATCATACAAACTTTTATGTTGCCATCAGACATGGACTTAAGTTTGTCCACAGAAACGGTTTCTTTTTTGATAGTTAGGCTTGTTATAACACCTGGAGTCATTGCCACCATAATCCCCATTGCGTGTACAGAGTCCTTGCCGTGTAATGTGTCTGGGTTGTCATCAACGTTATCGGCAATGAACTGCCCGAAAGAGTCGCCAGGTTTAGATGTTGACTTCGACTGAGTAACTGCAGCTGACTTTTCAAAATTGAGTGTAGTTTGGTAGGAAGATGCATATCCAAACGAAGACAGCATCTTGTTTAGGTATGCAGACATAAATAGATGGTGCGCCGTCACTGCTATTCCTAGTTGAACAGGTGACATCAGTGAGCCAGGCTTAACAGCCGCTAATATAGAGTGTGCTAAACCAAGCATTTTAGACTTGCTCTTTACTTTTGTTTTCACTACACCTTCAACAAACATCTTCAGAAGGTCTGGTAACTCTGAAATGATTTGCCATTATACAATTTTTACTGTTTATTGTGTAACTAATAACCCAAGTAGAAATCATAAATAATTTATGCCACGTAGTGTTAAATACTTGAATACGTAAATTCTATTACCATTTAACAGATCGTCTACCGATTGACCCACAATTGTAGGATATTCATCAGTTTTCGAAGAATACTTATCGAATGTGCGTATCTCCTCTAACATCACATCAAGGGCAGCTTTAAGTATTCTCTTCTTTTCTTTGGAAACGTCAATTTCAGATGAGTTGTCTTTCTTATCGTAAAAGTCTTTTATTATCCTAGACGACCGGTTCGTTATAATCACAAGACCATCTGCAGGAATAAAATTTGTTATTTAGCTGCAACTTGTGCATCTCATTGAAAATACCAGCACTCTCTAAAGGAAGATTGGAACAATATTGTCGTTAAAATAACTTACCAACGAAATCTACGTTATCATCAAAATGTATCTTTATCTGCATTTTCATGTAGACAACACCATATGGCTCCGATATTTTACCCATTTCATCTTGAAGGACCGCTAACTTTTCACTTCCCGTTTCAGAATCTTCAAACTTTCTCATAATTGTGAGAAAGGCAGCCATTCGGGAAAAATCCGGTAAGCGTTGAGGGATCACTATTGATTCTGTCGTATGCCTTCGTTTTCTCGGTGGGTGAGGTGTTGTTAAATCAAATTTCTTTGGTTTACCGTAACCACATTTGAAATTGATGGCACATGCATTGTGATAGCAGGCATCTGCAGCAGGAAGATCTACAACCGTATTAAACCTTCCTAAAACCTGAGAATACACGTGCGTGATTAACATGCAACAACATTTCACAATATAAATAAAACGAAATTTTTTATTATCATACCCTTTTTATGAGCATGAGAGTTATGTGGGAATTTAGCTTACCTCGAGACACCATGGATCATCTGCAGGACGCTTAGCTATAGCTTGGTCTACAGTTAGCTTGCACTCAAGGGTTTCAACAAATCTTGTTTCGTTGTGATAGCGATAACGATCTGATACTTTTAATCCGCAGTAAAAACAATGTGTTTGGAAGCAAAATACATTCGATTCCGAACTTCTTGTTCTCACTGTTGATTCAGTTGATGCAGTTGAGGGTCGGGTTCTTCTTGTGATATTTAGCCGGCAAACGTTGTGGAACAAATCGCCAACTTGAATTTCAATCCCGGCCGAGTGTAATGTCTCAACTCCCTGAATATGTTAATATGTTTATAACGTATGTCTATTGATGGCGAAGAACTGCATATCTTGATTTAAAATATTACATTATTTCATCAATAAAAATGAATACTTAGAAGAAAAATATGCTGTTGTGTGTTTTTATAAAATACCTTCCGTGTTATGACCGTAAGGTTTTTTAACAAGTCTTCTTTTAAGCATATTTTGCATCGATCACTAATTTTAGTTATCTCAGCTTTAGTCTTGCTAGTAGAAGGACCAGCGTCAGATGATTGTAATATTTGTATTACTGGTTGCACGCTTTGAGGAATAATTTCATTCAGAACATCTACTGCTTCAGTGTCAGTATTGTAGTAAACTGAGGAGTGTGATCGTGAAATATGACTCTCTGCTCAATTTATTTGACATTCTCATGAATTTCTTGGATACCGATTGCAGACAAAAAGCTGATTTTATCATTTCTAGTTCTATTTATTATATATATAATCAGGCGATGTTTCAATATTCAATTTCAACGAATTTGAACGATAAAAATGTTTAAATACCTCTGATTGCCGATTTAAGCGCATCTTTAGAATTGTTGTCCAATGCTAAATATTTTTGCACAGATCGAATATGGTACTCATCCTTACCCGAACCTAGACGATCAATTTGACGATTATATTTCTTATCGCCCATATTTCCGTCAATAAGCTAATAAGGATAAATACATACGGTAATTGATAAATTTAGACAACTTTGGAGCACAAACAACAGCACCTAAAACTCGAAAGTAATATAACTGACCTGTGTCCATTTTGAATAATGTGGTGAAGACGCTTTTGTAAATCTTCTTTTTTTCCTCAACACTAGGGACATTGAGCCAGTCGTTCAACAGAGCATTTATCCTCGTAACTGCTATGTCATTTCTCTCGACCGTCACCCCCTATTGTATCAACTCAAGCACTTGCATTTTGAAAAAAAAACGTACAATTCAAAGAAAGCCGTAATAATAAAATACTGAACAAGATACAATTCTTACCACACGATATAATATGAGGCAGTAGGCGATCTCCTTTCCAGATAAGAGACTGCGGATTTCCTGCGTTTTCTTTCCATACTGTTTTAGGAGCTTTATTTTGATGGCAAGCTCGCGAAACATAGGAAAGACAGGGGATTTGCAGAAACAATACGATTTGTAGCAAACGAAAACTTAACTTGTGAATTGTGATTGCGGGAAGAATAGGATCTGCGGATGGTGGTTGTGTTAATTTAACTAAACTGTTGTTGTTAAATTGGTGGTTGTGTTGATTTAACTAAACTGCTGTTTCTTTGAGATGAGGGATTGTGTGGCAGCGTTATATTTCATTATAGAAGTGCAGATTCTGATTAAGATAAACAAGAAACATAACCCCTTCTATCATGTGCAGATTCTGATCACGATAAACAAGAAACGTAACCCCTTCTGGCTTCTATCATGATCTGTATCTGCAAACTTGAAATTTATGATTATGATAATAGCGATATCGCTAAATTATAAAGGTTTGTGTATCACGAGAAAGTATAGTGCAATGTATGACTGATATCGAATCTCAAAAATTTTTGGAAATTCAAAAAAAAATTTTGTCGAAATTTTTTTTTTCGAAGTCGAAAAATTTTCTAAGTCGAAAAATTTTTAATTTTTCTAAAAACTAATTTTCTCCACGTTTCATGTTATTTTGATCATTTTAAGCAAAAAAAAATTTTGGATTTTTAAAATAATTAGCTAATTATAAATTAGCCAATTATCTAATTATCTGACAAGAAAACTCTCGAAGAAACAATTGTTCTCCTTAATATTACGAACACCGGGGTTCAATTTAGAACTGTCTACGATATTCAGAACGCTAGATATTTGACATACGAGAAAGGTGGTAAAAAGTGGTAAAAAGTGGCAAAAAGTGGCCTTAAGCCACGTGGAAAAGTTTGGAAAAGTTGGTCAGCCATAGAGGGCACCTATTAGGACTCAAAAACGTCAAAAATCCTCTGAAAGCTTCGTGTGTCAGCAGATCGATTTTTTCAGACGGATTTGTCTGTACTAGTAACAGATATGATTACCCTACACTTCTATATTAAACTGTTGGAAGTCACTAGTAACATACTTCAAACTGTATAACACGGTTTAAACTTTCTTATCATGTGGAGGAAGTATTCTTACAGCGAGCAGGTCAAGAATTCAGGATGCATTAAAGTCGCAAATGCAGTGCAGAGTGAATTATATAAGTATATTATTATTATGTGGATTATATAAGTTATAATATTATTATGTGAATTATATAAGTTATAGTATTCACAACAGGTGTACCCTAACATATGTGTTATGCACGTGTTATGCACGTGTTATGCACGTGTGTATCGGTACAGGACCACAAAGTAACTATTCCTCAGATTGCACACCAACTCAACATTTGTGCAACTGAACCTCACTGTTTTGTAAGGTAACACGAGTAACAGAGCTTCAGAAATATTGCAGGCAGAATACTGCACAGACGGAATACAGAGTAACACGCTAGTGACCTAATTGGGCGGCACTTTGGGGCACTTACAGGGTGCTCACTGGTACCACTGTCAAGTAGCTCGCATATCTTGTAGGAGTTAATAAAGACAGCATCTCAAATCAAATACTGGGTAATCGATATTTAACCTACCTTTAATTGTAGAATAGACCAGCATACAGTTAAATAGAGATGAACACACAAGATTATACTATTATTATTATGATGACGTATACTGACGTATACTGACTGTACTGACTAGGAGAATGAGACGCTGACAGGCGTACTAGGGCCTGACAGGCGTAGTGGCGTAGTTTACCCTCTGGTGTAACACACCAAAATCCTAAATAATGTGAATAAGTTCGGATACCTGCTTAGGGAAATACCAGTAGGTACTAGCGTGTAAAGGCATAACATTGGATGACAAGGTATGAAAGAAGATGTAAAGAAATGAGATAACATGTTACTCACCATCACAGAAGGATTATTCAATTCCTAGCAATAATCAAAGTTATGTCGAATCTTGCACTTGAGTACATTTTGCATGATAGCATGGAGATCAAGTTTCATCAGTCAGATCATGCCGACATGACTATCATTAAACTTCAGTGAGAAATTAGACTTGGAACCTAAAGGATAATGAGAATAAGTAGACTTGTCCGAGGAGGCTTAATGTTTAAAAACACGATTGAACAAATGGTGGAGTGACAGGTTACGTGTTGTTAAGATGCAGTGTGTTGCTAGGTTACGTGTTGTTAAGATGCTGTGTGTTGCTAGGTTACGTGTTGTTAAGATGCTGTCTGTTGCTAGGTTATGTGTTGTTAAGATGCTGTGTGTTGCTAGGTTACGTGTTGTTAAGATGCTGTGTGTTGCTAGGTTACGTGTTGTTAAGATGCTGTGTGTTGACAGGTTACGTGTTGTTAAGATGCTGTGTGTTGCTAGGTTACATGTAGTTAAGATGCTGTGTGTTGCTAGGTTACGTGTTGTTAAGATGCTGTGTGTTGCTAGGTTACGTGTTGTTAAGATGCTGTGTGTTGCTAGGTTACGTGTTGTTAAGATGCTGTGTGTTGCTAGGTTACGTGTCGTTAAGATGCTGTGTGATGCTAGGTTACGTGTTGTTAAGATGCTGTGTGTTGCTAGGTTACGTGTTGTTAAGATGCTGTGTGTTGCTAGGTTACGTGTTGTTAAGATGCAGTGTGTTGCTAGGTTACGTGTTGTTAAGATGCTGTGTGTTGTTAAGGTTGCGTGTTGTTAAGATGCTGTGTGTTGTTAAGGTTACGTGTTGTTAAGATGCTGTGTGTTGCTAGGTAACGTGTTGTTAAGATGCTGTGTGTTGCTAGGTTACGTGTTGTTAAGATGCTGTGTGTTGCTAGGTTACGTGTTGTTAAGATGCTGTGTGTTGCTAGGTTACGTGTTGTTAAGATGCTGTGTGGATGCGGAGAATTCATTCTACACCGTTAGTCCCTACATGACTATAACTAAACCAAAAGAAGGACATTTACATAAACTCTTAAAATCTACAAATTACCAACCTCCGAGCCCCTTAAATGGTCAAATTAACTGATTATTTATTCCTTTTATAGCTTGACGTATGGATTCCTTACAGAAATAATAAATTTAAAGTAACTTAGACGAACGTCCACTAACTGTTTTGGCTCGCCTAAGTATGGAAGGAATAATAATACTTACTGTTCTACTGTTAATATACCATGTAGCTATCACTGATCACAATTCTGGCCGTACTAACTACTAGTCTAGGTCTTCACCTCTTCGGCAGAACGGCGGTATAGTGCTGCGGCAGAACGGCGGTACGTATAGTGCTGCGGCAGATGGCGGTATAGTGCTGCGGCAGTTGGCGGTATAGTGCTGCGCGGTAAAAGACTAGAGAAGGAGATATTTATAAAACAGGGAGGAATGTCTGATCCGTGTTCTTCCGGTTTAAGAGCCTGGTGGTTCTGCGCACTTCTATGCGCAGAACCACGGTTACATCTTGTGTGCGCAGAACCACGGTTAAATCTTGCGTGCGCAGAACCACGGTTACATCTTGCGTGCGCAGAACCACGGTTACATCTTGCGTGCGCAGAACCACGGTTACATCTTGCGTGCGCAGAACCACGGTTACATCTTGCGTGCGCAGAACCACGGTTACATCTTGCGTGCGCAGAACCACGGTTACATCTTGCGTGCGCAGAACCACGGTTACATCTTGCGTGCGCAGAACCACGGTTACATATGGCGTGCGCAGAACCACGGTTACATATTGCGTGCGCAGAACCACGGTTACATATTGCGTGCGCAGAACCACGGTTACATCTTGCGTGCGCAGAACCACGGTTACATCTTGCGTGCGCAGAACCACGGTTACATCTTGCATGCGCAGAACCACGGTTACATATTGCGTGCGCAGAACCACGGTTACATATTGCGTGCGCAGAACCACGGTTACATCTTGCGTGCGCAGAACCACGGTTACATATGGCGTGCGCAGAACCACGGTTACATATGGCGTGCGCAGAACCACGGTTACATCTTGTGTGACCACTACAAGATGTAACCGTGATAAGTATAAGAGATATCACCTTATACAGAGCACCGCTTATACAGAGTACCGCTCTATTCTGTAGCAGATAACAACAAAGCGGCCGGCCCCACAGACCGACCACAAGAATACAAGAAGTTTACAGATTGCAACAATACTTATCAGTAGCACTGTTCAATGTGATATTATCTTTACAACAAGTGTATAAGTCTCAAGGTGTGGCACGCAGGATGGCAGGTGGAAATTAATATGATCTGTAAGCTAGACAGATGATATGACTGGTTACAAACTACAAGCGCGAGCTGAGAACCACTGAGTCTTGTCAGAGAGCGTGTCAACTGTCATTGTCAGAGTTAAGTGCCTGACGAATGGTACCGGTGGTTTTAATGACCAATTTACATAAAATATTAATATAACGTGATATCATAATATGTATAAATAAACTGAAGGATTTAACCCCTTTTGGGGCACTGCACTCTGCAGTGCCCCTGTACTACTACTGAACTACCTGTACTACAGTGCTACTACTGCTTCTTTATTTTTACGTCACACTTCATCATACTATCTGACCTCCTATTGTGTAGTGGAATGGCACTTCGACAGCTGCCTTCTTCTTCTGTCAATGAACAATGAACAATGAACGTCACAACAACCTTAGCTGGTAAATAAAACAATAAAGAAGGGAAAAAAGGAAAGTCAAAACTCAAAGAGGTGGGATTGGAGAACAAATGGACCTTGCAATGTCGCATATAGTAGCTCAACCTTGCAAGGTCGCATATAGTAGCTTCAACCTTGCAAGTCGCATATAGTAGCTTCAACCTTGCAAGGTCGCATACAGTGACTTCAACCTTGCAAATCGCATATAGTAGCTTCAACCTTGCAAGGTCGCATATAGTAGCCTAAACCTTGCAAGGTTGCATATAGTAGCTTCAACCTTGCAAGGTTGCATATAGTAGCTTCAACCTTGCAAGGTTGCATATAGTAGCTTCAACCTTGCAAGGTCGCATATAATCGCAAGTTCGATTTCAGAACATTGAGCTCGCTAGAACTGATGTAGTATCATTGAGCCATACAACTCGTACATGATATCCGTCATATAAAGCAAAGGTCAAGGATTAACATCATCGTAAAATATTTGCGGTTTAGTAATAGTTACGCCTAATTGTGCCTATAAAATATCCTCATTTACGT